GTCATCATCATGGATCCACAATTTTACCATGGATCCGTTTTGGTATATCCATGTCTCACCCAAGAAAATGAAATGTAAATCTTCACCACTATCACGCAATTGAAGATAGGTACCGCCTTAGAAATTTGATTCTGGCAGCTATAACATGTTTAAAATGTGAAAAACTTCGCCTTCGGAAACCTAAATTTATACGTGTAGTACGTACAATTCTTCTCAAAGCCGAGTGTTTTCCCTCGATTATATAAAACTTAAAAACCAATTGTAGAACGGAATCAACAAAGCATGTAGGTACATATATAAATCTGCGCAGTCGTCTTTCTGATTCTGATTATAATATTAACGGCACCAGCGCCGTTGTATCTGTATTATTTGAAAATTCGAAAAACACTCGACAACACTAGCGAACTTTACGGAGAATATTTCTGCCACCAGTTTAACTGTTTCCGTTTTACCCAATTTTTTGAAAACCACGAAATATTTTTTGTTTCTTTTCCTTTAAAATGTGCTTTCTCGTGATTACTTTTATGGAAATTGTTTCCATGCTGTATTTAAGGATTTTCTTGAAACGAGGCGTGTTGAAATTAGAAAAACTTCGGTTTTTTTTCCACACAATTCAGATTTGACATTTGAATTAGAAAATTAGACAGTTGATGCCAATCTTCAATTTCTAGTGATCTTAAGATTGCAACTTAACTACAGAAAAATTTCTGTCAGTTACCGAACGTGAATGCTTATTATTATAGCCGCGTCCTCTGTCGGTAACTAGGCGCTCTACTGTTGCCGTCAATGTCGCGATCTGCTTTTGCATGGCTTCCATAGGCGTGGTGCACTGCGTGGTGTTTTCGTCTCCAGTGGCGTTCGTCGTCCTTGTATTCGCTGCAGTCTTTGTTACGGTGGCGATTGCTGCGTGTGGCGCGTTGCTGATGTGGATTTCCACCATCTTGTCTGCCAGCTCCGCAGTCTTTTCGAATGTTAACCCCGTAGTTCCCGAGAGTACTAACTGTACGTTAGCTGGTAGCCGCTGCAGCCATAACGTCTTGAGGAAGTCATCCTGCATTTGGGTACCTGCGAGGGTTTTCATCTCCCGTAATAATTGCGAGGGCTTCCTGTCTCCAAGCTCCAGTTCATTGAGTAGCTTCCGTATCTGGCGTTCTTGTGAGTCCGTATACGCCCGAATAAGCTTTTGCTTTATCGTGTCGTATCTGTTGCTCTCTGGGGGATTTGCGATGACGTCGGCGACGTGTTGCAGTACGCTGGAGTCCAACGCCGCTACGACCGCGAAATACTTCGTAATGTCCGTCCTTATTCGGAGGCTGTGGAATTGTGCCTCCACCTGCGCGAACCACAGCTGAGGGTCCCGTTGCCAGAAAACGGGAAGTTTCGGGTTTCCGCTGTTACTCACGGTGTTCACTTCTACCTCGTTTGTTGTAGCTTTCGATTCCAGGGCGGCCTTACGTCTGCGAGTTCCTTTTCAAGTTGGGCGATTCGTTCAGCGTTCGTCATGATGTTGCTTGTCAATCGGTGTATGTTCTGTGTTGTTGCGTTTTCTTCTTTCGTCGAGGGTCACCAGTTGTGGATGTTTTTGGTATGGATTTATTTATGTACACATATTTACAAACGAATGACACTTAAGCAACGTGGTTGTGTTGGAACTCTGCGGCGGCGAGGAGCGCGGTGTTCTTCGTGATCTTGCTGCTTCTGTGGACGATGGCGCAGAGAGCGAGTTGTGCTTCCATCAAGCCTTTTCTAGTCTCGCTTCTCGTTTTCGCTTCTGCGTGGTACGCCAGCCAATTAGCGGTGTTCTTTGCAGGCGTACGGTTGGTTGCCTATAGCGCAGGCAACTTGCTCGCCACAGATTCATATTTTTTAGATTTGCTTTTACAGTGACTCAAAAAATGTATGGATCAGTCAATTTATTTTAGTGAATAACTCAAGAGTTGCAGAAATGAATACTTTGAGATCTTGCAGACGTTTTAAGGTTATTGTAAGCATGGTAAATTGTTAAGAATATTTATTTATTCCCCCCAAAAAATTGATAGAACGGCTCACTCGATTTTCGCAGATAATATTGGGAATACAGTACAGTTATTTTTAGTATTATACTGCACCAATCTAAGGTGCTATACGTGTTGATCGAAAATTGTGTGAAGAAAAGACTCAACTCGAAAATGCTGAATATGTTTCATTATACTTTTGGTGCGAAGGAAGTTCTGTCGAAACAACGTTCGATCAATTTTTTGACAGTGGTTGATATAAATAAAACTCAGTAGATGCTCATACTCGAAATACGAAGTATCTACTCGAATATCAAATCAAAGTATTTCTAGTTTTTCTAGATGATGCTAATACTTCAGTAAGTAACAGTTGATGCTCAAGTAGCTGTCGAAGGAGGAATAATTTTCCCGTTTTTCCGAATTTTTCATTGCTACTTCGCTCCTATTGATCGTAACGTGATGTTATGTAGCCTATATGTAGGTACGATAAATGGACTATCCAACACAAAAAGATTTTTTTGAATTCGAACCAGTGGTTTCTGAGATTAGCGCGTTCAATTAAACAAACACTTCAGCTTTATAATATAAGTATAGATAAATTAATAAAACTAAACTGATTCATCCACTATTTTATTTGAGACACCTGGTACAAGCAATTCTAAAAACTATTAATTGAATGATAAGTCACAAGTGCAGCCATAATTTTGCACATTTTAGGTAAGACTTATTTGACAAAATTTTGACATGACGTCATCATTTTTTTGTGAGAGGTAAACGAATAAATTTTCATTAACAATTTGCCATCATTACGATAATCTTAAAACGTTTGCAAAATTTCAGATCATTCAGCTTTGCAATTTCAAAGTTAAAATGCAAAGTGTTGTTATACAATTTTGATACTTTTCTGCAACAATCTGGATTCATACATCACAAGTGTAACACTATCCTGTTTTATAAAATTAAAAAATATATATTATTGTAAATTTTGGAGATGAGGTCATGCCATTGGTGGTGAGGATGATTAGCCAAATTTTGGTTAACCTCTGATCATCTATATTCCTAGTGTACTTTCAAAATTTGATAACAATCAGTCCAGTAGTTTCGGAAATTATCTGTCTAATAAAAATCCGGACAGACGGCAGACAGACAGACAGACGGACGGAAACTTCGAATTGTAGTGGTCATGAAAAAAAAGCGTAAACAAAGAAAATATTGCAATCAAGTCTATCGGCGGGAGACTGGTTACTTTCTCGACATTTCATGACCCATAGAATATGAAGAATTAGGTCCCATAGTTCAGTCTGCCTGCCGTTTGTCCAGATTTTTATTAAACAGCAATTGCTAATCCGGTTTCTATCATGGGTTGACGCCCAGGTCATTCCAGAATTGCCGACCAAATATAAACAAGTGTGTTTTCGTAACACAATGTGTTGGAATGCTAGACAGTGGACAGTAGCGGGGTATAGGTGAATAAAGTATTATGCATTAATGAATTCAAGAAAACAAGCTCTACAAGATTTCTGAAAAAATGTATAGTGTGTCATTAAAAAATAAGTGATATGTGGTAGAGAAACAAAAAAAATATATAGAATATCAAAACGAATTTATATGATATCATTTACCTTTTTAGGCGCAAAATCATTTATTTTTAATTTTTCAAAGAAGCGGGATTTGTTGTACCTGCTGCACCTCAGTGACGAGGGAAGTCCTGTCGAAATGACTTTTGACCAATATAGCATAGTAAGTACTTGTAACTGCAGCAAAATTTTCAGACTAATTGAACCGTTTTTTTAATCCCAACACCTATTGAAATATTACCTCCTGCAATAATCGATTTGTGGGTCTGAATTTGAATTAGACGCATACATACATAAGGTATAAATATTATAAAAGCTATGAATAAAACAACAACCACAAAAAGTAATAACGGGTGAGTACAGCGCACAAAATAAAAACAACTACTCTTATAATATTCAAACAAGACAACTTTAAGGATTACATGTCACGAATATACTTACTTATTCCAGTTACGTGGCCACGTTTACAATGATCAAGTTACTATCAATTTCCTTGGTATAGAGATAGGGAAACGCAGATGATTCACATTAGTTTTATGTCTTCTTTGTCAAAATAATATTGCATTCACAAGATATAAAAGCAGTTCGATAAGATCTTTTATTTGGAAAACACTTCATTATTATTGTCAGTCGGAAGTTTTTACATATTTTAGATTTTTTTTTGGAACCCAGATTTTCCATGTAAGTACAATACGTAGTTTTATTTTTTAATGAAACGTCATTTAAAAAAAACTTTTTTTCAGAATTTGCGAACATAATATTTCAACAGAAAACAAATGATGCCTGTAAACGAAGGAATTGCAATATGCCAAACAAGTCGAAAAATATTTCGATACAGTTTAGTGTGGCCATTGGAAGGAAACGAATTAAGTCCTGGAATAAATGATAGAATTAGAGTTATAATTTTTTTTATAATTAATGGAATCATAATATTTTCCCTCAGTACACACGCTTACTTACTTCTAAGTATGTTTCTAGTATAGTACTCATTTAGGAAATTAGATTCTGCTTTTTTGTAGAACACCCAGAATTTGCCATCACTGAAGAACTTGCTGAAGTAATAGCCCTCACTGGATGCACTTATATGGTTTACGTCTTTGTAGAAAATCAAAAAAACATTGCTTTCTTGATGCGAGATTTATCGGACTTTGAAATATTTGGGGTTCCTTCTAATTTTGAAAAACGAAACAAAAAATTAAACTTAGTGGTGAAATTGTTTTTTTGTTACACTGTCGGTGCCGTAATATTTTACAATTTTCTAAAGTTGTCAGAGAAATCAGAGTGCAAAAGAATTAGTTCCGAGAGAGGCATGAAAGAAAACCATTGTGGCTTAATAGGACCATTTTGGATTCCCTTCAACATAGACTATTTTCCCGTTTTTCAGTTATTTTCTTTGTTCGGTATTTTTTTTAGTCACTTGCTTATAAAAATGTGCTTACATATTTCTCTTAACGCTTTTGAAATAGCACATCATATCATATTACGAATTCAGCATTTGAAAGTTATGATTGAAGAATGTTTTGATAACAAGAGCTACACAGTGAGTCAAAGAAATTTAGAGAGATGTATTTCCTATCACATCCAGATATTAGAGTATGTTCAGTTTTTACATGAATTTAAACCACTGGAATTATATTTTTTAGGTTTGCTTCAAGATTAGATAATGCTTTCTTTCAGTGTATGTTTAGTCATTTTCTTTTAACGGGTACTATTTTTGCCTGCCTGGAAAAGCAAATTCTCGACGTAATTAAAAAGTTAACAGTGTAAGCATTGATGAAAAAATGAGTTTCTCTTTTAGAAAATTAATATTTTGGGAGCTGTTTTTCACATTTTGGGATGGATTATGGCTTTGTTTGTGGCATGTATAGGTGGACAGGATTTTCTAAACGCTGTACGTGTTTTTAAATTTTCTATCTCATTAGCGCGTTTCAATTTTTTTTTTTCAGAGTGAAATTATTCCAAACGCAATATGGAATTCTAAATGGTATCAAACCGACTTACGACTGAAAAAATATGTCGTCTTTATGCTGATGCGTTCTCAGAAAGCTTTGCGGATTCGAGCTGGTCCGTTTGGAGTTCTTTCATTTCCACTATTTTTAGCGGTAAGTTTACGCGATCTTAAATGCTGCTAACCATGGGTATTTTTCAGGTACTAAAAACATCTTATTCTATTTTTTGCATGTTATCATCGTAAGAAGGATCCCTGCTGGCAGGTATTTCACCCGATAATGAATTTTGCACTTCTATTAATGAAAATAAAGCCAAAAATGGACTGCTTTGCAATGTTTTTTTTTTACTAAACCACAGAAAAATTCCACTTCATGTCCCTCTAGTGTTGATTTTTTGTTTATTGCTATAATTTTGGATTTAATTCAGTAAGTTAATACGCTAATTTCCTTCAAATAGAGTAAAATAAATAACTTATTATTGGTAGAATTGTACTGTCTAAATTTTCAAAAGTGAAAGTCCATACATGTACCTATAGATTGATCGGTGCAGTGCGGTCGTGTGGTAGTGCTGTCTGTGATTTAGTAATTTTCACTAAGATATTATTAACAATTTAATTTTATTTGGAACCAGTGTGGGGTGTAGTGGTGTGGACCATCGGGAGAGCGTTGTGATATCGGGGGTGACCCCTGTTTGGGGTGGTATATGGTTCATTTTTGGATTTCTGGTGATTCCGAGTGAGACGTTATCTTATCAGCTTTTCTTTTTGTCTAATAGTTCCTATTACTGTGCGCTCGCGACCTTACCCTATCGAGGGGACATCGTGAGCGCAGTGCTGTTAACTTGGTGCGGTGTTCATTAATAATAGGTACTCTAAAACACGAAAGTCTCAGTTTGTTTTTTTTTTTTAATAAGTATAGCTCTTAAATGTGCAAAATGTAATCGGACAGTCAATACACGTACTGAGAACCATGTTACTTGTCATAGGGACTGTAAGGGTAGTTTTCATTTAGTATGTGCTGGTATCTCTGAAGAGACTTACGACGGCTTAGTTGAGTCGGGAAATGTTGAATCATGGACGTGTACCGCATGTTCTTCAAAATTTTTGGAGGCTAAAGCAGCTGTTAATAAAAACCCCTCTGTTTCTTCGCTGAATACCTATATTTCGACTGATCAGTTAAAAAATATGATGAATAAAATAGTAAAGGAACATGTAGATAACATTTCGCAGCTATTTATCGAGCATATTGGTGCTTTAACTCTTAGAGTTACTGAACTTGAGTTAAAAATTAGCGATTTAACCAGTGAAAACATTATTCTTAAGTCAGAATTTGAGAAACTTAATTTAACGTTGAAGAGCGGTAAAAATTCTGATATACAAATATCTAAGGGGGTAAATAAAGATGAATTAAATGCCAAATTATCGTGTGCCGAGTCCTTGGTAAAAAAGTCTCAGAAAACTGTAATTGTGCAGCCTAAAGATAAAACTCAGTCGGTTTCAAAGACTAAATCAGATGTATTAAACGCGATAGATCCTCTTAATTCTTCTTTAGATATTATTGGGAGAGTAAAACCACTCAAGGATGGGGGACTGATGCTTGGGTGTGAAAATACTAAATCGTTCAAACAAATTGCTAAAGGTAAGTTTGCTGATGACTATGAAGTTCGTGAAGTTAAAAGTATAAGACCAACAATTAGAATAACTGGTTTTTCAGATGATATTGATGAGGAGAACTTCTTGTTATACCTTAAAAACAAAATGAGTCTATTTTTGATGTTAATTCCAGTGTTAATTTGTTAAAACTGAGCTGTACAAAAAGAAATAATACTGTATATCAAGCCTTAATTGAAGTCGATTTGTACACATATAAAAGAGCATTGAGCGTGGGTCACTGTCTTATTGGTCTCGATGGTTGTTCCATCTATGATGCTGTCGAAGTAACTAGGTGTTACAATTGCAACAACTACGGTCATGTATCGAAAAATTGTAAAAATAAAACTTGCTGCCCAAAATGTGCCGGAGAGCATAAACTTGTTGACTGTCGGTCTGATAGTTTTAAATGTTGTAACTGCTCCAAATATTTAGAAAGTTTAGCGACAGATGAATTTGAAGTTTCTGATGTTACGTATGATCATGCGGCTTGGGACTATAAACAATGCACGTTATTTAGAAAAACCATGGATAAAATCAAGTGCGACATTTTCGACTCCGCCATATAGCAATCATTGGAGGATCCCACTTTATTAGGTACCGTTTCAACTAATAATAATTCTACTGCTTCAATCACTTTACTATCTTCGTTATCAATCTATTACCAAAATGCCCGAGGTATAAACTCAAAACTAGTGGAACTTTTCAATTCTTTACTAACTTGTAATTTTGAGCTCATAATTCTCACTGAAACGTGGTTTACTGATTCTATGGCTAATTCAGAATTTTCTCCTGACACTTTTGAGATATACAGATCTGATCGTAAATTTAATAAAACTACTCTTACCAGAGGCGGTGGGGTTCTGATAGCAATGCGCAAATATTTCTCTGTTTTGCAGATTGATCTGTCCCCGCATGGTTTTGAAGAGTTGCATTTAATTGACATTGTGGGGGTAAAACATACATATAGATATGTCTCTTTCTACATTTTGGTAATTTCTGTTGCACCCAAGTCATCTGTTGATGATTATATCTCATTATTTAATTTGCTCCGTAATCTTGCTGATTTATGGAATAATCGTGTGGTTATCATAGGTGACTTTAACATTGCTGAATATCATATTGGTTTAGAGAACAATATTGTTGGTAATAACAAGTTGTCTGCCCTAAGCACTTTTTTAAATCTTAATAACTATTGTCAGTTTAATACTATTATGAACACTAATGGCAGACTCTTAGATTTGATTCTTTCTAACTATGAGTGCTCTGTTAATGGTTGTCACGATTATCTTTTGCCAGAAGACAGTCATCATCCTTCTCTGGTAATTACCATAGATACTCATCAAGGAAAAAGTAAGATTTTAGGTAATTCTGAAATATTAGTTAAACGGTGGAACTTTCGGAAAGCTGATTATCCCAACCTTTATCACCATCTTGGGCAAATTAATTGGTCCTTTTTAAATGGAGTTAATGATCCGAATACTGCATGTACTTTATTCTACAATAAACTTATTAACATCCTTGATATTTATGTGCTCAAGACTCGTAACATTCGTCATAGGCCCTTCCCGCCTTGGTTCACATTGGACATTAAAATCAAATTTAAATGGAAACTTTGCTCTAGGTATAAACTAAGTAAAAGTTTAGAGGATCTTTTAAATTTCAAATCTGTACGTTCCGAAATAAAACGTGATGTCAAAATTGCCTATCGTGATTACATCTGCGATTTGGAAAATAACATAAAAGCCAATCCTAATAAATTCTGGCCACATATAAGCAGACTTAAAAAACAAGAGGGTATACCGTCCCAAATGAGTTATAATAACAAGGTACTCTGTAATCCTGCAGATATAGTAAATGCATTTGCAACCCATTTTAGTTCAGGTTACACTGACTGTAAAGCCACAAATTTGAATGAATTCGTATGTGAGTCTTACAATGATCTTATACAATTCAACACGATAAGTGAAGCAGATGTGTTTAAAGCGCTAAAAAAAATTAAGTGTAACTTAACGAGTGGTCACGATAATATTCCGGGTTTTTTATTATCTGATTGTGCTTCGGTGCTTTCTCATCCCTTATCAGTCATCTTTAATTTAATAATAAATTCTGCCATCTTTCCCGATATCTGGAAACATTCTATTATTTCTCCAATTTTTAAGAATGGGAGTAGAAATACAATTGAGAATTACAGGCCCATTTCGCTAATTTGTAACTTTGCCAAAGTTTTTGAATTTGTTTTACATAAATTTTTGTTATTTAATGTTCGTAGTAAAATATCTGATTGTCAACATGGATTTGTAAGTAACCGTTCCACCATATCTAACCTCTGTGTATTCACACAGTTTGTTTCAGAAAGCTTTGATGCTATGCTTCAGGTTGACATGGCCTATACTGATTTTTCCAAGGCCTTCGACAAACTTAATCATGACGTTTTGCTGGTTAAATTAAGTAATTTTGGGTTTCCTGCTTCATTACTTTCATTGTTAAAATCGTATTTATCCAATAGGACTCAGTGCGTTAAATATAATGGTCATGTGTCAGATAGTATTTCTGTCTTGTCTGGAGTGCCTCAGGGTTCGGTTCTTGGACCTCTTTTGTTCGTGATTTACATAAATGACATCGCAAAGAGTATTAGTTCAAACATTCTTATGTACGCGGATGGTTTAAAAATTTTTACAACTGTTTCGAGTATTAATGACTGCCGGATGTTACAAGATGATCTGCAGAAATTTCCATGTTGGAGCAATTCTAACTTTCTCCCGGTAAATTTTGACAAATGCTTTATTATGTCATTTACTAACAAAAATACCCAAACCTTGTATCCCTATGATCTCAATAACACCATTTTGACTAGAGTTGATTCTTTCTGTGATTTGGGAGTCACTTTTGACTCCAAACTCTCTTTTGTAAAACACATAAATAATATATGTGCCAATGCTCTCAAATCACTCGGTTTTATACTAAGATGTGGCAGTAGTTTTAGTGACTTTGATTGTTTGAAAATTTTATATTTTGCTTATGTGCGATCCAAGCTTGAATATGCAAGTGCTGTTTGGTCTCCATTTTCTCGGATTCATATAGACACATTGGAGTAGATTCAACTACGTTTTTTGAAGTACTTTACTTTTAGGGCGGATGGTGTTTATCCACCAAGGGGTTCGTCCCATATTACTCTTTTAAATAAGTTTGGGTTTAGAGATTTACATTGCAGACGGACTATTCCATCGTTGAATTTTCTAAAAAGTTGGTTCATTTTCATATTGATTGTCCGGATCTTTTGAGTCGATTATATTTGCTTGTCCCCAGATTGTCATCTCGTTCTCATGATTGCTTCTATTTGCCCACTCCTCGCTTAAACGTTGTAAAACATTCACCTATATACGAGATGTGTACTTTATACAATTCGGAACAGAAATCATTTGATATATTTAAATAAATAGGTTTTTTCTTTGTATATGTAGCTACATTCAGTTTGTTTAACTTTGCCTTCGTGGGTTCAGCTGTTGGTCATATATTTTGCTAAGGTGGTCAGTAATTGGGCTATTGCCTGTTGACCATCACTGACATAATAATATTAATAATAATAATATTAATAATATATTGTTACGTGGCGCGAGCGAATAAAAATAAAAACTCGA